TTTTGCAATAAAAATAAAGATTTGATCTTCTACAAATAATAAATCATGTGCATTTAATCCTATATTTAAATATAGTATACAGTATATGGTAATAATGTAATTAAGGCAACCTATCTCCCTGCTTTACTTAATTTAGCAGGGCCACAAATTTGATATTAAATTTGGTTCAACTTCATTAAAAAATTAGGTATTTCTATTAGGCCAAGAAAAATTGTAATTAAATAATTAATTGAACAGAATATCATTTTATAATCTGCATCCTACATGATGGTGCATATGAAAATACTTATGTTTGACTGTTCATGTGGTATAAAATACTGTACTAAATATTGTAGTTTGGGGGGAGGAGAGAATTACACAAAAAGGGAAAGTGTAATTATGATAAAATGTATTCAAAAGAGAAGGGATCAGAGAAAGGTACAATGCTGTCAAGCTGCAATGAGTTGAACTACTTATTTTATTAAAGCTAAACTTTGAGTGAAAAATAATTTCAAATTTTATGCTTTCAAAGGACAGCGAAAGCTGAAGATCCTCAGCTCCCAAAAATGAGGAGAAAAAGAAGAAAAGCCTATAGAAAGTGGAAACTCCTGAATCCCACAATGTGTATGTCCAATTCATTGGTTTTATAAGTATGTAAATATGAATTACCTAATTTATGTACTTTCTTCTTTATCACAGGAATGTTTACAAAAGTAGGAATATAAATGCATATAAATGTTATAAAACTATTTTAAATGTTATAAAACTATTTAGAAGTTTGGTCAATTGTTATTATATATATACTTCTGAATTGATTATTAATATTAGTATTGTGAATAAAAATGTAAATAAAATATTTGAGACAAAGGCTAATAAGACCTCTATTCTTAGAATCTGTGTTTAGTACATTGCCATGTAACTATCTTCTTACTTGCAAAAATTGACATGTCATCAATTGAAAAAGGCTATCTATACTAATAAAAGGGTAATATGCTAATTAGACATCCTTCTGGAAAAAGCCACAGTGGTGGGGGTCAAGGCAGATGTGGTTAGGGGTGATCAAGGGTGATCAGGCAGAGGCAGTTAGGGGCAATCAGGAGGGCAGGGGAGCAGTTAGGGGTGATCAGGCAGGCAAGCAGGCAGAGGTGATTAAGGGTGATCAGGCAGGCAGGCAGAGGCAGTTAGAGGTGATCAGGCAGGCAGGCAGAATGGTTAGGGGCAACCAGGTAGAATGGTTAGGGGCAACCAGGCAGGTAGGCAGGAGAGCAGTTAGGAGCCAGTGGTCCTGGATTGTGAGAAGGATGTCTGACAGTGGGATCAGGCCTAAACTGACAATTGGACATCCCCTGAGGGTTACAGGACTGCTTGAGGGTGCAGGCTGGGTGGAGGGACTCCCCTTTCCCCAGCCCTGTGGGCAAATTTTCTGCACCAGGCTTCTAGGAAATTATAAAACGGTAAAAGGCTACGAAGTAAACTGTTCTTGGCATGAGAATACTTTGTAAGAATATATTGTAATCTACAGTCTGGAATGCAGTTTTATCAGTATATAAACTACTCTCACGGACATGCTGTATTATAAATGGGTTTGAGAGAGAGAGATTTCCATGTCTTTTTTCCCATAACTTCCACATGATAGCTCCAGGGTATAGCCAGACCCGCTGGAAACGTTCAGTATTTATGCAGAAAAAGGCCATTTCCTCAGACTATAAGAGTGGCAGATGGGAACGGTTAGACTCTTCACGGAAGTTTAGTATGAATACAAGTGTCAAATCAGAAGTCTGTATACCTCTCCTGAAGATGGGAAGTTATGATTCCTAAACCTATGATTCTTCATTTGATTCTGAAACAGCAATTTTTTTGTAGCCCATACTTCTATGTCACCTCTAGCCAAATTTTAGTGAAATATTTTTCTTTCTGTTGAAGAGGATTTATGTATTTACTCTTTATATAAGTGTTTATATGTTTGTCTATTTTATATTAAAAATATGTAAGTATATATATCTATATATATCTATATATCTATATATATATATATATGTATATAAAATCACATTTAAATTAAGAACGTTTCAAGTAAATTTATATGTAACCCTTTATAATTTTTAGCTTAATCGATTTATTAAAACTACTAGAGGCCCAGTGCATGAATTCATGCATGGGTGAGATCCCTCAACCTGGCTTGCACCTTCTTGCAATCTGGGACCTCTACAGGGATCAGGTCGAAACCTGGCAGTCAGACATCCCCCTGAGGGATGTAGCAGTGCCAAAGCTGCAGGCAGCTGGGGAGGAGCCCCAGCCGGGGCTGGGCACAGCTCCACTGCTGCTTATCCTGGCATTGCTGCGTCTACTGCCACCACTGGGTAGCACTGCCATGGAGCCAGGAGAGGCTCCTGCTTTCACATTTGTGCCTGCCAGCCACTGTGGGAGCACACTGACCATCAAGGGCAGCTCCTGCATTGAGCATCTGCCCCCTAGTGGTCAGTGTGCATCATAGACCAGTTGACCAATCATGACTGTCATTTAGGCTTTTATATAGAGAGAGATCCTGTGGACACCTGGTTTATAGATTTAGCTGAGATCATTATCTACTTGTTTTCCTTCACAAATACTCTCTTCCAGATGTATTTTAAAACATAATTTGAGGACTTTATGTTTTATCCACTGTGTGTTTTTTTTTACACAGTAGTTCATGCTCAAGTTCATGAATTTCTCATAGCAAAATATTTTGACATTATAAAGCCGAGGAGTAAAGGTTGCAAATGGAAAGTTCTTGTACCAAAGCTGATACCTAAATATATTGGTCTCCATCTATGGAGGGTTTTTAAAAATGTGTGCCAATCCCCAGAAACTGGAGGTTTTATATAATAAAGCCAGACTCTAGCTTACTTCTGGGAAAATGAGCAGATCTGGTAACACCAGAACACCTACTCTTTTATAAAAAAACAAACAACAACAACAAAAACAACCCTAACCCTGGGCAAAGGAAGCTACCGAACCTGTTTAACAGGCTGTCTAGAAACCATTGTTAGGTATCTTCAATTCAGTTTACTCCCATGTTTATTTGTTGTACATCTCAAATTAGATCCAGCTTGATTATAATTGGTATTATAATGTTACATTCAAATACCTGATCATGATAAATTCCTCTTTATCAAGAAGTCTTTTAAGCTTTATTTGCATAAATGTGCTCTAAATTTTTTATTTCACTCATTTTGGAAGTCACTTTTAATGTTAAGCTTAGTTAGATTATTACTTCTTTAAACTACCAAGTGATATTTTGCATTCTAAGATAATTGATTTAAAATAAGATGTTTATTAGAAATGCATGTTGTGGGGAATGCTATGAAATGTTATTCAAAATAGTTACAAAAGATAGGCATTGAATAGAAACTTTTTCTGCTTCATCTTTAGGTGAACCTCAGCCTGCTAATCAAGCATGCCAGAGAAATGTAAAAAGTCTTGAAAAGGTCCAAGGAGACACCGCAGAGGCTGTGTCTCATCAAACTCGGACATCAGGGAAATCTCAGGGAAACAGAGATGAGCATACATCTGCGTCTATGAATGGAAAGCAGAATTCCTCTTCTCTCCCTAAAGATAAGAAGCAACCTCCCTCAGACAGCAAAAGAAGAAGGGAAAAGGAAAATGATGACTCCTCTCCATCCATTTCTCATCAACTAAAGAAAGTCTCGCCAGTGATCATGCTTAATGACTGTGAAGGATCATTATCAGGAAAAATTACTCTACAGGATTTCCCAAACACAGTGGGAGCCTCTAAAGAAAAGAGCAAAATTACTACAGAAGTAAAATATGGGGATATCGTTGTTCACGTGGCAGACAATAACAGATTTTTCTCTAAAACAGAAATACAGTTCCCAACAAAAAAGAGATGTCCCAAATGTCACCAGTGTTACTCCGTCAGGCATATTCCAAGATATTACTCTTCCCGAAGCTGCTCTTATATGTACAGGAATATATTAATAGAAGAAAGCAAACCGCAGGCTCCATCTAAATACGGAGGAGAAACAGCCAGAACTGAGAGCACCTCCCTGGAAGTCAGCATTGTAGGGAAAGGAACTAAAGTTAAATACGTGAGCAAGGAACAGAATATAATAATCAATATCTCTCGTCCTAAAAGAAGGGGGAAGACAGCTAACTACGGGAACGTTTCCTCCAGTCACACCGCTAAAGAACCTCCCAGGCCTTCTGCACAGCCTGGGGTCAGACTGCCTGAAAAGGGGCGGCTTGGAAACAGGCCTCGGAGTCCGGACCCTTTGCCGGCCTCTCCTCCCGTTCTGCCTGCTGTCCGGGAGGAGGAGAATGCTGACACACTTGTGGTTTCTCTGTGCTCAGCCCCTGAGAGGACGAGTAAGCCTGGCAGGCTATTTTCGGTCTTCGATGACTGCGAGTTAGGATCTGCCATCTCTCAGCAGAAGGACTCTAAAATTAGTGGGAGCGCCTCACAAAAGAAACATTTCTTTGAAGCCGAGGCTCTTCTCAAAAATGTTTCTCCCACTTCACATGTTGCCCCGAAGGCCCCAAGTTTAAGTAACACAGACTTAAGGAAAATGCCTTTCGAGGCTCCTAAGGATGTAGCTGGAGATAGAAAAGTCAACTTCGATATCCCAGAAAATATCGCAGCAGGCTCGTGCGCGCAGCAAAGCACAGGAGGAAGAAATTATTTGCCAAGTACCATTACTAACACCTCTCCAGTCCAACGTGGCAAATCTTCCCCTCCCAGTCAAAATACCGTGAAATCTTGCACTCCATTCTGTCCATCAGATGGGGCCAGCGGACATCCAGAACCTACAGAAACCCCTGGGGATGCATTTTCCTCTGGACACTGTGCTGAAAGGGTAATAGACCACGAAGAAGAGCACGCTGATGGGACCAGCAGAGACTTCAAAAAAGCCACTTTACACAGCGAATCTGATACAAACATGCAGCAACTACTGGAAATGAAGAGTACTCAGTGTCCGAGTCTCAGCCCTGCGTCCTCCGGCGGGCTTGCTGCTGGGAGCTCTGTGGGATGGAGTCAAACAGGGTCCCAGGCTAGTCCTGCTGAGAGGGCAGCCCCCAGCCATACAGAAATGGCAGTCTTGACCTCAATAACTGATGAGTTAGAGCAAAGGTTAATTATTCAAAATGATAGAGAAAGCATGGTTGATTTCAATTGTCGAATGGGAATAAGACTCCTTAAAGAGTCACCCAGCATTGGGGGAAATGTTGAAAAAGACACGTTCCTCATAAGGCCAGCGGTCAAGAATGCATGCCACAGAGAATTTGAAGACCTATCAAATGAGAATCGTGATGAAGTCTGCTTTCAAATGAAATTTCCACCGAACACTGCTGAGTTTAACTCTGCAGTGCGTGCTGCAGATAATTGGTTTCTCATTGAGAAGCCACTGACCAGCGATGCAGACCAATACAGTGCGCGAGATGAAATAAACCTGGGACTCGCCAGCTTTACACAGGAGGCAGCGGAGTGCCAAAGCATCATACCCATAAGGCCAAATGCTGAAGGAGATAAAAAGGAAACTTACTGTCACCAAACGGACATACTGCTTTCCCCTCGGAAGAGGAAGGCTTGGGAAGGTACAGTGCTACACAGAATCTTTTATTTTTACATGGCTGAGCTTTGGAAAGTCTTAACGTTGAGGGCTTTTTTTTTTTTATTGCTTTGAATATTTTTTTTCTTTATTGCTGAAGATCTATTGAGTATTTTAGAGTTAAATGATTATGGGCAAGCATATATCAACCACCCCACCCATAAAAGTGCATAACAAAATTACCAAGGCTACAGTTTAATATAAAGGAAAAAAAAATCAATCTCTCTTTAAAAGGTTGATGTATTGCCAAATCAATTTTGTTGGAGGCATTAGCCTTTTGCCACTCTTTAAAAAAAAAAAAAAAAAAATCCACCATTTCTTTTCTTCTTGCAAGCTAAGCATGTTTAGAAGAATAGGAGAAATGTGTTTGCGACAAAATGTGTTTTTAAGCTTGCTGTGGTGTTGCAGAAGCGTGGTGTACATGTCCCAGGAGGCCGTGTGGAATAGTAATTGAAGCAAAGGACACAAACCAGAAATAGCTATGGCTAATCCTGACCCCGCTGTCCCTGGGGCCTCCCAACTCAAGCAGACCTCTGACCTCCCTTGTGCATTGGTTGGCCCTGCTCAAACCATTGATAAAACCCAGAAACTCTCCAGGCCTCCAGAGGACTAAGATGGAAGCTCTTTCCTAAGTACATAATACCGCCTGTCTGCTTTCAATCTTGGGTCCATGCTGTACCATTTTGGTCACTTCATTAAAGAGCCCCTGTTGTTTTTCTCAGTAAGTCCAAAATATTTTATATTTAGTGTCAGCATTATGACACATTGTATATTAAACCATATCTTGAACAGATAAAAATTGTATACTGCCAGTAACATTCCTAACTTGTCCAAAAATGGAATTTGGAATGATGAAACTTTGGGAAGCCATCTTTTCTTCGATGTTGTTCAATTCCTAATTTTTAAATAGAATTTAAAAACTTGAGAAGTTAAAGTAAAAGTATAAAAAGGACAATTACATAAATGTTGGCATAAAATGTGGAGTTTGCTGTATGGAGAATAAATGCCCTAAAACAACACAAAACCTATACAGTCACCAGTTTAAGATGAGCAGCCTAAGGCAAAGATCTGTCAGTTACATAACTGCTTCCCAGTGCCAACATACCTCCACATACCAAGTGAATGGAATTCATCCCAGCATTGGGTTCAGTCCACAATTATTTAGGTCTTTAAGAAGCAGACCTGCGATAAGAGCACTTGTGTCTTTTAGAGCAGACATCTGCTCACCTAGATGTCTATCCTTCTCATATGCCTCCTCTTGGACTGCCTCTCCCAGCAAGGCATATTTCCTTAAGAAAACTGGTCATTCAAGTCAGAATCCTCCCAAAGCTGATATTGCACTTCAATGGGCTTTGAAATGGTCTCAACTGATGAACAATTGCAGCTACAGGTTCCCTATGTTACTGTGATTCATCCAAAGGCTGTTTCTGTAACTCCTCTTCCCCCATTACTCCATTCCAGCAACACTGACTTCCTGGAGTTGCTAGAACCTATCAGACAATCTCTCTCATTAGTCCTTTGCTTGAGCTGCTCCCTCTAACTGAATCACTTTCTTCCATATGCCCATGTGGTTCACTTTCATCACTCCAAATTTTTGCTAGCGTGATACCTTCTTAGTGAAGCATTCTCAGCCCATTCAATTTAAAACTGCAATCTGAGCCCTCTCTATCACAACCCAAGCATATGCTATCTCTTTCCCATGTTTTAGCACTTTTCTACAATAGCACATAGCACTTTTCATTTTCTAATATGCCATGTATATTTTACTGGTTTTGTGTGTGGTTTTATTATTGTTCTATCTTCTCCCACTAGAATGGAGGTATGAAATTTTTCTGATTTAATCATTGCTTTATCCACAGCACCAGAACAGTGCCTGTCCTGTAGTGGAGACAGTCAATGGGTATTGATTGAATAAAAGAATGAATTCAGGGAAGTCGCATAGGCTTCTTAGTGCAAAATGCTATTTACATACAAAACTAAAAAAAAAAGCATGAAAATGGTAGAGAAACTTAAATATTTATAATAAAAGATATTTGAATCTATAAACTTTCATGGCTTTGACTCTCCTAGAGCTATAAGTATTTTTATACTTTATTCAATACTATTTTCATCATACTATTGATACATCAGGCCAAGATTTTCAAATTTTTTCAAGGGTGTAGATTGCTTTGAGAAACTGGGACATCTTTGTATTGTTTCACCAGAAAATTATAAATTTTATATAAATACAAACTTATGCCTGTATTTTCAAAGGGGTCCTTCAACTCCTCAAAGTCTAGCTGCGTACCTCAGATTAAGAATCCCTGACATGAGTGCTGATTATAACATTTACATAATTCCCTCCACACATGTGTGTGCCTTTGGAAACTAACTAGATTAGAGGCCCCAGTTTGGATTTGCCTACTGGGGCCAGGGACATAAGGTAAATGAGTAAAGCAGGCTGCCTGTGAGAAATAATGAAGTGATGGTAAACTAGAAGGAGCACTGTCCCGAAGCATAAGAATGCAGGTCCAATACAGCCAAGCTTTTTGCTTTTTCAAGATAACTAGAGATCTGGATTTTTAATATATTTAACTCTCTACAGTACATGACTTAGAAGATGGTACAGACTAAAAAAATCTGTGGCATATGAACTAGATAAACAAGAGAGGGTAGGGATGGGCATGCAATGGAAGGTAGAAAAGCCAGTGGCAAAAGGAAAGGGATACCAGCCTAGACCCCTCAAAACTGAATTTTGGGTTTTCCTCTGTCAGGTCAGAGGAAAAGAGGTTTCTCAGGGACTTGTTTTTCAACTTTAAATGGACTGAAATATATATTTAAAAATCTTTGCCCCCCCCCCCCAACCCAGAAATTCTGTCATAAAAAAAAAATTTAATGAGTAAAACAACACTAGGCTTCTCTGAGAGAATAACAGATAACGAGAAGGATTATATGATATTTTACATGGCATAGAAATACTTAAAATTAAATAGTCCTTTGTATGTAAGATGGCATAAAACTTGCATGTGTTATGTAAGATATTCTATTTCCCTGTGCCCCCTAATATCCCAAAAACCCACACCAAGGCAAAAAGATGTAGAGCATTGCAGCTCTGAGAAAGGTCATGGTCCTGAAGTCTGCACCAATCTCTAGGGATAGAAAAATGAATTTTAAAATGATTTCTTTTTAAATAGCAGAATACAACTGTTGAGATAATTTTCAATTATCTGCCGGTGAGAAATAATGGGGAACTTTCCACTCTCATGTTCATTTCAACATTTCTCAGTTGATGAGCAGGGCCAGCGTCCAAGGCCCAGGGTCCAGCGTCCAAGGCCCAGGGTCCAGCCGCAATGCCTGTGCTGTTTTCCAAGTCAGGCTCTTCCCAGATCTGCAATTTCCTCTCCCTGGCTTCCAACTCACTTTCCAGGCCTACCCCCGGCTTTCACAGTGGTAGCTTTCTACTCTCTCACTCATGCTTGATAAGATATTAGTGTGTTCTTTAATGAATTAGCATATTATGTCTACATAGTGACAGTGTGTATTTTAACAGAGTCCTTCAAGAAACCTGAGTGTCTTCATTCTAGCTCCAAGCAAACTGTCTGATTCTTAGAATGGCTAAATAAACGTCTATTGGGTATTTATGATGAGGAAAAGAGTTGAATGTGAATGTAGGTTACTAAGATATAGAATCAATTCACTATCAGCTTGAGGTATTCAAGGGTTATGCTGATTTAAGTAGTAAATAGGTAGCAAATTTGAGTCTGGAAAGTGTCCAAGCTTAGACTGAATGACTACTTCAAAATCTTTTAGAAGTTTTAAGCATATAAAGGACCGAATTACCTTCTACATTTTTGCAAACCTGAGATTCTACAAGGAACAAGCAGGACAATGGGAGTGCTTTGCACCCAGTGGGCATTACAAGAGGTTCTCAGATCAAACTATGAGACATACTGCAGGGCACATATTTTCTTCTAAAGTGAGTATATAAGCATATATCCTAGGCAAAAGCTTCTCCCACCCCATCCCAGGGTCATATTTCCATCACACACTTTCCTAGGCCCATCAGACTTTTTTCCCCCATTAATTTCAGAAAACAATCAATTTTAAATGTAAAATATTTGACATTAGAAAATTATCCTTCTCACGGATGCCTTCAGAATCAACCTGGACTCTCTATCTCTACAAATAGCAAAACTACAGGGACATTGGAAAAAATGGCCAGAGGCCAGTTCTGTGGCATTTTTTAAAGTTCCACTGCTCTGTAAAGTTCCAGAGGATAAAAAGTCATCTTGTTTATAGCTGTAGACCAAGTAACCAGCAAAGTAGAAAATAGATATAGAATCAATTCACTATCAGATTGAAGTATTCAATTACAGTGGAAACAGTAATAACTATTACAGAATGAATGTCATTTTTCTGGCACCCTGTTTCTTTCTAGAGAAGAGGTAGGAGTCAACAGCAGAGCTTTGGAAAATTAGAGGACTAGATAATGACTTTCCCTCCCTTCTGTGTCTTTAGCCCTGCCAAGCGAAATTTACATTATTATGCAAATGGATCACTAATAGTTACACATTAAAATAAAGAAGATGATTTATTCATGGATATATCCTATTTATTATTTAAATAGTCCTGGGAACAAACTTTGATACTGAGTTTAATTTTAGAGTTTAATTTATAAAGATCCAGCTTTAAAAACTCCTTTGCTCCTGGGAATAGAATAAAAGTAAAGGCTAAGAGTTGGGGTTTTTGTTTTGTTTTGTTTTGTTTTGTTTTGTTTTTAAGTTTACCTTTTCATATAGTACCAAAAAGTTACAGCAAGTAAAATTTTAACCAATCCTAACCTATCAAATTATTTTCTAGGTATTACATGCTCCACTATTTGCCTGCTTTTATTTCAGCCTTTTAGTTATTTTCTTAAAATTTGCTTGTATTACAATTAGTTTATTTATAATTTTCTTTATTTTCATTAATACACAGCCTCTCAGCTTCTGAGGACAGAAGGCAGAAGTTTTAAAGTTATAATTGATATTTATTTAAACGTTGTTAAGCTATTTATTCAAATATAAAACTGTCAAGACTTTCTTGCACTCTGGCCTTTTTCCCTCTTTTTCTCATTTTGAGCCAACACATGTAGCAAGAAAAGTATCACGAAATTTTTATTCATGTGATTCATGGAAGTCAAACCATTAAGGACTGGAGTTCAATAGTAAATTTATCTAGATTATAATATAACAAATTCGGGTAATAATATCTTGTCTTCTTATTGAGAATTCAGAGGACATAATTAACAATTTATTTGCACTTTGCTCCTCCGGAGTAACTAATTAACATAGCATTTTGTATACTACTGCTGCCCAAGAAATATCTGTTGAATTGAATCCAACTGAGGCAATGCGTGGTGATCCCCCTTTCCTATATAACTCGATTTTTCAATTATATGATTCTTCTTTTTTAAGCAATACAAGTTTAGAAAGTGAATCATGAAGAAGGTAAACGAAATTATTCTAATTCTACTCTAGTCTCCAGTTGCTCTGTTTTAAATATCAGAATATTTTAAATTCTACCTTTTCATATATAATGTGGTTTAATCTAGATTGGAATTTGCAAATAAGTAGCCTCCTCAAGTCATCCCAGGAATTGCCTCCAAGAGGAACAAGGGCCAGTGATGTTTCCCAGGAGGAAGCAATAGACCAGTGGGCCAGGAGGAGGCAGCAATTCAAAGGCTGCAAAAGCAGCAGCTCAGCAGGGGCAAGTTCATTCGCCAGCAACATCACGGAAGGATCCAGTGAGTAGACAATTACTTTCTTCTCCAAAACCAAAAGAAATGCAATGACTTACTGAACCTATAGGACTTAGGACCTCTCCACATATATGTTTTCTAGCATTCCTATCAAATGGACATGGGTACTTATTCCACTATCTCCAACCCACACTAGCAAAGAGCTTCCCTTTGCCCATGTAACTTGCTTTTTCACTTCCTGCCCCAGGAGTCTTACCTCTATGGACTATTTCAAGGGGACAATTTGTCCTCTGGCTTCCTGTTGGGCTTAATCAATAGGGAAGATCAGCAGGAGCTGGAGGGGAGGGAGCGAGGAGAGTGAGGACTTGGCACTGAGGCCCAGAACCACCTATTTCCACAGATCTTAGGCTACATCGCATGGCCTTATCCCAAGACTTTTATCAACACAACTTGACTTTCCAGGAGGCTCTTGACCAGGCAAATATTTGTATTGTTCATTACAGAAACTCTCCCTCCCCCAAAACCATCAGATTTGCAATAGAAAACATCAACAGATAGTTTATTTTCGTAGTCTCTTTGAAAACTCCAAAAGCCTCACCTTGCCATGTCTGTAATTCGTGATTCTGACTCAGTCCTAATCAAGGTCTCACTTTGAAAGACCTGCCTTAAACCCAATTTCTAATCCTCAATAAAGTCGGAGTTGGCCTCAGACCTCTCCCTGTGGTGTGTCAAGGGCTGTTTGTGTCCTTAAAAGCCGCACTGCTGTAGATGCCCCCTCCACACTGCCTTCTGTGGTTCTGGTTCTGGTCATTGGTGCCTGCTCCCTCCCCTTACCTTTTCAGTGTTAAATGGACTAGTCTTAAATTTACTATATCACACCTGATTTCCTTCCATCTTCTCCACACGTCAGTATTTTTATTGTCTGTAAACTGCTCATTTGAGGGTGGCATCTATTTTGTGCACAGACAGACTATGCCACCCCTGCGCTCTATTTTAATATTACAGCGATGACCAGACATCACCAACACTGCACCAGTGTGCAGACAGAATGGTTCATTGCTTTCAGAGATAAGAGAGGACTCCCCTCCACAGAGCATTGGTAATGTTTGGGGGATAGGGAGGCAGGAGGGGGGAGGGGGTGGGGGCAAAGTTTATTTTATCGAGAATTAGAGGTTTTGTTCTCAGTGTACTCAAAACTTCCTGTCATGAGGTAAATAAGTAGTTGAAACTTCTCTAAGATGGATTCCCCAAACTGGATTTCCTAGACAGCAATATTCTAGAAGTGCCATTCGTGTGTTTCCTGATCTTTTGTTTGATAAACTTGCAGTCTGGAGATTTTCTGTCTTTCATTGAAGGATACAAATCTTGTGTTTTGCATGTAAGTCAGATACAATAGCCATTAGCCCTACTATTCTGGGCCCTACCCCCAAAAAATACTTGCACAAAAGCAGTAGTCAGAACGACAGAGATCTCCTGAAAACATCAAAAGGAGAGGTTCCGGAGGACATATATCACACACTCCACAGCAAACAACTTTGAAACCTTTTTTTGATGCCACATACTTCACAGGTCCCTGGGCAGCGCTTCAGGCACCCAAGGGGGGGCCTTTCATAGCCATGCTTTCCTCATACTGACACCCGGATTCCTCGAGTTCTATTTTCTCCTTTCTGGGCTTTTCCTTGGACCTTTGAAATTCCTCTCCTGAATACTGCAGACAATTCAACTGCACTTCATACCTCCAAACTTATGTAAACAAAATTATCAAAGTGTTCAACAATTAACCAACCCTACAATAATCTGAATTAAGCCATTTTACAAACTAAGAAGGAAGGATCCGAGGGAATAACAGTCTGATGATAAATTAGAAAAGCAGAAGTAAAATTTTTATTGTACATGGCAATAGCTTCCATTATTACTATTTATGACTGATTTAAACTAAAAAGTTGGATTTGAACGGAAGCTTTGTTTAGTCTGATTAGCCTAGGATGATCTTCTGGTGGCATAGAGAAAAGGACCATTTCCCCATGCTTTCAGTTCTTCCTCCTCCAGGACCAGTTCTTTCTAGTTCACAGAATCTGTCAGCTTTCTGGACCATTTAAGTCCATCTCATCCTTTGTTTCATGGACAAGTCTGCCACTACTAGTGCTCTTAGACATTCATGTCTGTTCTGCATTTCTTTTTTCCTTTTTTAAAATATATTTTACTGATTTTTTTTTTTTTTTTTTTTTACAGAGAGGAAGAAAGAAGGAGAGAGTTAAAAACATTGATGAGAGAGAAGCATTAATAAGCTGCCTCCTGCACACCACCTACTGTGGATGTGCCCACAACCAAAGTACATGCCCTTGACTGGAATCGAACCCGGGGCCCGTGAGTCTGCAGGCCAGCATTCTGTGGAGCCAAACCAGTTAGGACTGCTTTTCTTGACATAAGTGTAGGTGTGCAAGAATCAGCCCACAGTAGTTCACGGTAGCCAACATTGCACATTTTTTTTTTTTTTTTTTTTGCTGACACTACAATTCAGTAGCATCGGGTTGGTAGCTTGAAATGGGCCATGGTAGGAGGATGTACCACAGAAACTGGCAAAGCACTACACACCAGGGCTTTTTTACCTTCCTTTCGGGAACTCTAAGGTTAAACATTGATCAGTGCCCGCTTGAAACCACTCCTGGAATCAGCTGGATAACTTGCACCAATTCCAATTTCAGGCCAAAGTAACACAATCCTGTTGATTAAAATAATGATTGTGTTTTCTTTGCGATGACTTCTGTTTTTAATGAAAATTTATACTAACAATTTGTTTTACGTAGGACTTATGGGAACGGAACCATCTGCTATTTTATTTTGCAGTTTATCTAAGCCCCAGACACAAGAGGCATGCTGCATTTCTTCGGCAGCTTTTCAGGAGAGGCTGCACTTTGCTAAAAGCTGCTGGAGCTAGCATTGTTTAATGTGTGGTTTAAATTTTATCTCATTTATAGAGTCAGGATATGCTACTAATCCGTGACTTGGAACCTGACAGCTTTATCGAGCATCATTACAGCTGGTGCTGTTCAGTCTGTTAATCTTACTCTGCTCTGACTTGCTCCATGATAACTGGGAAAGACATTAGGAATGACACATTTATGTATGTAGGCACGGCTGATCAATCCATCTATGCTGTGGGGAGTGCTGACTCAGGCTCACCAGGTCAATAACCCGAAGGCAGCAAACTGAAGTCAGAAGGGCTTGCAGGCTCTGATTTTTAGATTCTCAAATGACTCCAGTGTCACCAACAGCTGTGGTAAGAATTTGGGTTTAACTGTGTGAGGCTGCTTGAGAGGATTTTTTTTTTATTTCAGCTGTAAAAATTATTATGGAAATGTATTTTCAAATATTAGTTTGCATAGAAAAAAGAAAGCAGGAGTGTGGGGTGGGGAGACAGAGAAGGAAAGGAAGGCAGGCAAAAGAACTTTAATTTCTAACAATAAGAACTAAAATTTACAGTGTGCTTATTCTTTCAAATTTTATAATACAACTAGAGGCCCAATGCATGAAAATTCATGCACTGGAGGGGGGTCCCTCAGCCTGGCTTGCCCCCTCTCACAGTCCAGGAGCCCTCAGGGGCAGGAGGTGACATGGTGATCAAGGGAAGGCAATGCCCCATCACACCTCTGCTGCTGCCACTGCCAGAAGCACAAGCCTTGGCCCGGCCCTAGGTACCTGAGCCTCGGGCCAGCCCTGTGTGGCTGGGGGGCTGAAGGGACTGGGAGACTCTGCAGGCAGGTGCATGGAATGGCCGAGCCCACCTGCCACCCCAACAGGGCTGAGGGGACTGAGCACCACCATCTTATGGCTGTGGGTGCCACCATCTTTGAGGGCGTGGCAGTCAATTAGCATATTCCCTACTTATTGGCTGTTGGCAAGCCATCTTTGCAACAGTGTGAGGGTCAATTAGTATATTACCTCTTTATTATATAGGTTAGCTTTTAATTCTCCCAATAGCACTATGAACTAAGTACTATAGTTTTAATCCTAACTTTACCAGATGAGGGATCTGAGTCATGGAGAGAAATGGCTTGCCTAATGTCACTTGGCCATAGTTAATAGTGCAAACCCAGACACCCTGACCAGAGTCTACGCCATTGAACACAACAATTCGCTGCTTCTAGTTAGATTATTCAAATCTGATCATGCTTTCTTTCTGGGAAAGTCCAAACAGGGTCTCCCTTAATCAGATACCATTTTTATTATCCTCAAGTAGTACAGTGGAATGAACAAGAGTGAGAATGTCTAAAGACATCAAAAATAAGGGAAGTATTTCAAGTTTTCAAGAGCACAGAAATACAAATGCAATTTCAGCAATGCCAACATATTTAAGAGCTCATTGTGTTACGGTTTCATTTATTCATAGGCTCATCTAGCAAGCCAAATTTTGGTGGCAAAGTCATGTTTGGGTATGTTTCCTACCTGGCTCAAAGGTCCCCAGGGACAGTTGTTGAGAAATCTAGCCGTTCAAAGCTGCAGCAGGTGTGTGGTTTGCTGCTTCACTGGACTTTAACACAGGTTTTATGTCTCAGTTTATGTAAGAGGATGCTGATTAGCTCTGTCTTGGTAACTGAATGAACAGAGAACTGCTCATCCACATAATCAAATCTGCTTGTAAATAGTGAGCTATTTTAATAGTCCCGCGCATGCTGTTAAAAACAAAGATCACTGTAATTTAAAGGCCCACCCTCAGACCTTAACATAATAGGGGATGATTACATAGCCACCATGGACAGCTACTGCTCAGGGGAGGCGGGGGGAAGTAATGATAAATCCAGGGCCCAGGAATGTATGTACATTATGGCCATAAATATTAAAATGTAACTGAATATTTAAGGCCAAGGATATAGAAGATAAATCAAACAAGGGAAGTTGTTTTAAATGCCTTTGGGGCTTCTGTAACTTTAGCAACTGCTATGTATGAAAGCAGTTTGGATTAGATTTAAAGCTAAAAAAGACGGGTTTGTAAATTATTATAATACTGGAGGCCCAGTGCACAAAGTTTGTGCATGGGTGGGGTACCTAGCGGTTGCCAGCTGACAGCCAGGGCCTTCCTTCATTCTGCGTCACCCCTGGTGGTGAGCGCACATCATAGTGAGTGATCGAACTCCCAGCTGGTCAACCTCCTGAGGAGACACTTTGCATATTAGGCTTTTACATACACTGAGTGGCCAGATTATTATGATATCTAAATACATATATTGAAAGGAATTCTAAAGCTAACTCTCAGCCTTATGTGGTTTTCTCTTGATCCCTAAATACTAATATATGTCTCAACAACAATTGTTTTTTCCCATAGTTTTTTCACACACACACACACACACACACACACACACACACACAAAGATTTATTGTGCTGTCTGTAGTCTGCTGATTCCCACAGCATAGGTCCTCGAGGAATGCCTGCTTTATTTATGATATTTTCAGATTATGTAAGTTCTTCCCCAGAGAAGTGTCTCTGCAGCTTAGCTACTTGTTTCAAGGGTCATATTCTTCCTTTAGCACAGGTTTCCCCCTGCACACCTTCATGAGCTGTTTTCTCACCGTGGCCATAAGAGTGTATTCACTTTCTTACCAGAGCACAACTCATGATGCCACCTTTTCTGCTCCTCAGTCATCTCAGAAGACAGCCTTTCTGTGGACCTTGGCTTTCGAGCTGATATGGAGGAAAAAGGTTTCTACACGGAGACTTTCCATTCAGCAGCCTGGGTTTTTCGAGGGGACGATGGGAATCCTGAGGACAGTCCCAGATGCCTTAGTAAGAAACCCCGACCTGCAGCTGGTAAGGACTCTATTATTGTGATAAGATGAATGTGTGTATCTTAGAGACCATAACTGGGCTCCAAGCAAGTCTCTGAAGTCGGCAAACTTGCACACTGGGTGTGGCATTTGGAGAGAGGTATGTGTGCTTGAATATATAGACATATGTAATGTATTTATTAATAGTGTGAAAGAATCTGAAGCTATTAAAATAAAAACTATCTTAAGAGCTCAAACATAGAAGGTTATTTCAAAGTTGGAGTAAAGATTAATGGAGGAAGAGTCAAATCTGTTTCATCCTATAAGTACATTTTGGAAAAAAAATACAATTTTTTAAAAATGTACTGGAAAATATAAACAAGTAACAAATTGTAATTTATTGCACCAATACCAAAATATAACCATTTTATTGTTTCTGCATTGTCTTTTTATTATACACAAGAGGACCAGTGCATGAAATTCATGCACGGTTAGGGTCCCTAGGCCTGACCAGTGATCAGGGCCAATTGGAGCCTCCCTTCCCCAGCTGCCAGCTGGGGCTTCCTTCATTCCAGCTGCCTCCTGGTGATTAGTGCACATCATAGCAAGTAACTGAACTCCCAGTCAAACTCCGGAGGGGACACTTTGCATATTAGCCTTTTATATACACTGAGTGGCCAGATTACTATGATCTCTGAACACATACTAATCTGGCCACTCAGTACATTTATATTAGAGGCCCAGTGCATGAATTCATGCATGGGTGGGGTCTGGCCAGTCTGGCCAGGGGGAGGGGACATGGGCAGTTGGCCAGCCTGCCTGCTGGTCAAGCTCCTGGTAGAGGGGACAATTTGCATATTAGCCTTTTATTATATAGGATATACACTGAGTGGCCAGATTATTATGTGTTCAGAGATCATAATAATCTGGCCACTCAGTGTATATAGATAGGTCTAGTCCTGTTTTAAACATATATGGAATATGCATTTAATATTGTCATATTTATAGTCTGAAACATAAGATTTATAGCTTACATTTTACATTTAGTAATATAATTGCTTCATATTATACCTTCATTTAATAATGTAAATATTTTCCTTGTGTTTTTGCAGACTTCATTAATAATCTAATAGTTTCAAGATGTTTTATGAGATTAATATTTAGTTTACTAAAACTATATAATTTCCCAATGCAATAACAACTTAATGGGTCTTAAAAAACACTGATACCTGAATTACAAGTTCCAGCATGTGAAATTATTATTTCAGCCCAATCTTGGCTGCAAAATACATGTGAAACTTTTGTAAACATCTGTATTGGTATAAATAAATGACCTTGATTAATATAAACAATGTAATTCAAGCAAGTAAAGATTCATGCTGCAAATAATGTTTTAAAATATTTATACAACCATGCATTCAACAAAAACTATGTCTACTAGGTCCTGGCACTAAGGGAACTTGCTAAAGACACACAGAGAGAAATTATAAGTATGAATTTGATAAATTCTACAAAGAATCTAACTTTTTCAGTACAGGCATCAAAATTATCACCTGTTTATGGCCAGCAAAGAACAAGCATTTGGTTAATTAACTATCATTTGCTTTGGTTAAAAAGAAAAATAAATGTGTTCAATTTTTCTAATAATTCTATATACATATACCTATATTTACACACAGATGCACATACATGTACACACACGTTTGTATACTCGTGTGCATATTTGTATATACATGTGCATATATGTGCACAAACAGGGTATCCCAAATAAATGTATACACACTTTAAGAGATGATAGCTCAATGTTGAAAATAAAATGTATTTTACATATAGGTGTCCCCAAAAATGTACAATATATACACACTTTGATAATTATGAAGGCAATGTTTATTAAAATACATTTCATTTTCAACATTGAGCTGTCAGCTGTTACAGTGTGTACACATTTTTGAGGGGCACCCTGTATATATAAAATGCTTAGATGCTGCAAATGATAGTATTTATTGCACTGAACCTCAGTTCAAGAATGTACTAGTTGTTCTGATTGTTACTAAAACTTGAAGTGTTACATACATAAAATGCTTATTTTCTTAACTATGTGATATTGAGAAATCAATAAAGAAGATTAAGATTGGAAGGAAAGATTATTTGTAGACAAGACCAATCATTTTTAAACCTAAATGCATCTTTAACCTAATGGTATTTTAAGATATTGCAATACTATAATAATTTGTATCTACCAGCACGTATTTTGTGAGAATAAATCTTACACCTTTAAAAAAAATCCAATTCATTATCTCCTAAAAGAGCTCTTCTATAAGTTGGAGAAATATGTAAACAAAGGTTTGGATCACTACAAAATTCTATTGCTGGAGCCACAAGAAAAAGGAAGGGCATTTTAACTTCCACATTTTGCAAGATGATTCCAAAGTGTTGTTATTTGAGGGGATAGACTACTTGAAAATGAGCCCACAGGGTCCCTGGAAAAGACAATGGCATTTATTTGTGGCTTTTCAGCAGAAGTGTCATACATTATCCACCAGACAGTGGCAAGGGAAACCAATACTATAAATCTTAAAATATGAAAAAATTGTCTTCAGAATGGGAGACATGTTGCAAAACATTTTGATTGTCTTTTCTTCCACAAGAGATTGCTACAGTTTGAGCTCACCAGTTAAAGATTTTATTGAATTGTTTATATCTTAACAATTTCATGTTATAAGGAAAAACAGCAAACAATTTGATTTGAATCAATAGTAAAAATACTCCATTAAACAAATATCCATTGGGTAATCAATATGTCAAAAGCATAAGACAGTATCAAGTGGGTAACCTATAGGGAGCAAGAAGTTTTGACATGTGGGGAAGTTAAAAATTTTTTCTACAAAGGTCAGAAATGGTTTCTGATTTTCTTTTTTTTTTTTCTTTTTTTTTTTTTTACCTGATTAGCTACCAGCCTATTGCAGACTGTTAAAATATTCATTTCTGTCGCTTTGAATTTCCCAGTTCTGCTTCTTAAGTTATACTGAAATCTAGTAACTGGCAGCCCAAACAATCGTATAAAATGTCTGCCACAAGGGGACTGTACTAACAAATGATAGAGATCTTCCCAGGAGCATAGAATAGAGCAGAGGAAATAATTTTAGAGCTGGAATATATCAGTGCCTTCACAGCAACTTGGTATGCTTTTCCAGATGCTGTTTTCAACAACAGAAAAACAGTATTTTTCACAGACATTTTGGAAAGATCGACATTCCTTCAAGAATCCACATGAAGAGACTTTACCTTTCCTGCCTTTGAATGTTTGCCAGTTTTGGCAGCAAATGTTTATCATGTAAACTCCATGAGAAAAAGTCTCTTGTATGACTTCACCACTGCAGCCCTGGTGCATAGAAAAACACCTGGGCACATAGTAGATACTCAGTAAATGTTTGTGAAAGGCTACCTTGAATTGTTCAAGACAGAGATGCTCGCTTCCTTATTGTTATCAGAAATTTTTATTCCTAAGCCGACCAGGAAGATGGTCACATCCAAGCACATTTGAACAGATTGACTAATCTTTCACTGTCCTTGTTATTTCTTACAGGAAAGTGAATTTTTAAAAAAATATATTTTATTGATTTTATACAGAGAGGAAGGGAGGGAGATAGAGAGTTAGAAACATCAATGAGAGAGAGTCATCGATCAGCTGCCTCTTGCATACCCCCTACTGGGGATATGCCCGCAACCAAGGTACATGCCCTTGACTGGAATCGAACCCGGGACCCTTCAGTCCCCAAGCCGATGCTCTGCCCATTGAGCCAAACCGGTCCCGGCAGGAAAGTGAATTTTTAAAAAGTATTGATTTATCCCAGAATATCTGGGAGAAGTTTTAATGAAATAATGACAAATCTTCTTACAAATTCTGCAAAATATAATGTAAATATATATATATATATATATATATATATATATATATATATATATATATATATATATATATGGTTAATATGCAAAGTGTCCCCTCAGGAGTTTGATTGGGAGACTGCTAGTTCAATCGCTCACTATGACATGCACTGACCACTAGGGGGCAGCACAGAATGAAGGCCCTGGCCAACAGCCAGCAACCAGGGAAGGAAGGTCCCAGCTGCAGCCGGGAGGTCCCAGTTGGCCCTGATTGCTGGCCATGCCTAGGGACTCTACTCATGCATGAATAATAATGTATCTCCAAAGATTAGGGACTCACCCACCTAGAGCATCTGACAGAGATGACAAGGAAGAGATTCCCCATCAAGTAGGAAGCTGGACTAAGGTTCTTCCCTACTCAAAGTACAATTGTTAAGTCATCTTAAATTCTCAGGATTTTCTTTGACCTCGTGATTGCTTCTAGTTTTATCCATATTTTGACTACATATCACATTCTGTAACAGTCTTTCAAAATGTATCTAAAGAAGATGCAATCCTGCAAAGAAAAATGTTCTTGATTTTTCCAACCCACAGGAAGATATAAATCTATCTGTAAAATGAAGAGTGAAATACAAAAACACAATTAGTCTAATGTATCCCTATTTTTTAATGAAAGGGTATTCTAGTAAGTTATAATTTTAAGACGATAATTTACCCTGCCCTTATTAACAGATAAGAATTCTTATTTTATATTTAACTGAAGGCCCAGTGCAAGAATTTGTGCACTAGCGGGGTTCCTCTGCCTGGCCTGTGGGATCTGGCCAAAACTGACTCTCTGACATCCCGAGGGGTCCCAGATTGTGGTGCAGGAGACCGAGGCACCCTACAGGTGAATGATCAGGGTTGGGGAGGGACACAGGAAGTTGGCCAGCTGGGGAGGGACCACTTAGTTCCGATCGGCCAGACCCCAGCAGCAAGCTAACCTACCAGTCAGAGCATCTGCCGCCTAGTGGTCAGTGTACATTAGAGACTGTTCAGCCTGTCAACTGTCTGCCCCCTGGTGGTCAGTGCACATCATAGTGAGCAGTTGAGCAGCCTTAGCATATCATTAGCATATTACACTTTGATTTGTTGAACAGATGACTGGACAACCGGACACTTAGAATATTAGGTTTTTTATTATACAGGATTACCTCAGAGACCTATAACAGGGCTATTACTAATAATTCACTTCTGAGGCTCAGGAAGTTTATCATTATATTTTGTTATGATTCTTTATTAAAGGTGTTTATTAACAAATATGTACACACACACATGCACACAGACAAGTCTTTATGAAGTAGCAGGAGTAAAGGGGAGAAGATACATGGAAAAGCAGACTCAGAAGTGGCTGAGCCACATTAATAAGGATTCATGGATTAATCCATGGATTCTTACTGTGAAGTCTCTGGAACTCTTTACCTTCAAGGCAGCATAACTGTACAGTTATAGTTTCTACAAGGCTCAGCTTTTTCTGTTTCTTTCTGAGAAGCTCAGTTGTTCGGTTATTCTTGGATTCCTACAAGACCTAAATGTATGGCTAACAATTTTTTTTATTTTTTATTTCTACCTTGAAATAAATGTCCCACTATTGATGGATCTGAATGACAGACCTGTAAGGCTCAGCTGCTTTTTGGGAACCATGCTGCCTCAGAATCATCAGCAGTGTTCCTTTCTCACCCTATGACTCAGGCAACTTGTTTAACCTTTCTATGCTTCAGTTTCCTTCTCTCCAAATATATATATATATATATATATATATATATATATATAAAAGCCTAAGCAACGGAATGGTCAACCAGTCGCTATGACACACACTGAATACCAGGAGGCAGACGCTCAATGCAAGAGCTGCCCCCTGGTAGTCAGTGTGCTCCCATAGCCAACTCCCACTACCAGCCAGCCCCAATCATGCACAAATTTGTGCACCAGCCCTCTAATACAATAATAATGGGCTAGTCAGAAGATTAAATTAGATAATATTTGTAAAGTGCTTAAAACACTTTTATTTAGGCCTGGTATGCAATAAACAAGCAGTAAATACTAGACACTTTTATAACCATATTTACTGTACCTAAAGATGAACTCAAAAGAATGTCCTCTTTGCTTCCTCTATAGTTCGAGAGCGAACCCTAAGACTCTTCAAAGGAACTGATGATTGTCCCTGGGGCTTCCAAATTCAATTCTCCAAACCAATCGTGGTAACAGAAGTGGATACTAGTAAGTTTTCTCACTCTAGTAGTTTTAATCTAAATAGCCTTTGATAGCATAGTCCTGTAAAGCCCACATATGCAATACAAGCAATTTCTAATTCTCAGTCTATCAGAAACTCATGGTGATTGACAGGTGCCCACAACATGACCAGATGTTTTTTATAAGACATGCTTTCCTGATGGAAAATACCCCTCTACTATACATAGGGCATTGGTCTCCCTACCAAAAACTAACCCTACCTACAAAGAATAACAACCAAGGAGTAGGTTGTTGTTGACTTATTAGTACTTAATATTTTCTGGAAAACAATCCATTCCCCCTGAATTATTTCCCTACAGCTTTTCAGATCTCCTTATTTCCTAACAAGCATATTAAATATTAGTAGATGCCTAGTGAAAATTGGATCCTTTCCTCCCTAATCTATAACATGAGAGTAATGTGAGATCAATGCTTTAATGTAGGGGTGTCGAACTCAATCAGAGAAGGGGCCAAAATCTAAAATCCAGCCTAAATCGCGGGCCGAATGGTTTACTGAACAGTCATAAACTGTCATTGTGATGGAACGCAGCGGAGTGCAGTGATGACAGTGCGGTGCGGGCCACATTGCAAGGCCTGGCGGGCTGGATTTGGCCCGCGGGCCTTGTGTTTGACATGTGTGCTTTAAGGCCAGGACACTAAGGTTGGTAGACATCTATATATGTAAAAGCCTAAGTGACCATTCAACCATTTGACTATTCAACTGGTAGCTATGATGTGCACTGACCACCAGGGGGCATATGCTCAACACCCAGGCATGGAAACATGGAACAGACTGATGAATTTCAGAGGGAAGGGAAGAGTGGGGAGAGCCAGAAGAGATTAACCAAAGATCTTATATAGAAGCCAGGTGCTTCTATTACACATATGTCTGCAGGGATAGGGACAAAACCATCAATCCAACATTCCCCAAGGGGTCCTGGATTGGGAGAGGGCGCAGGCCAGGCCAAGGGATCCCACAAGTGCACGAATCCATGCACTGGGCCTCTAGTGTAAAACAAAGGTGTCCACACCCATGTGACACATTAGATGAGGCTTTTATTGAGATTATCACAGAGGGAGGCCCAGGGACACTAGAGGGTTTCCAATTGACATTTCAGTATTTGTCTGGACTGTGAGTTTCCCGAGCTCAGAAACTCTATCTTACACATTCTTTTATCCTCAATAACTTGTGCAGTATCCCCAAAGCAACAGAGTAGATGCCCCAAGGTGCTTGTTGAGTGACAGAATGAGCCCTGGGTTACCCAAGAGCTGGGGAAGCATGGGGCAGAGAGGAAGGGAGGAGTGCTGTCCAGGAGGTTTGTGACCCGTCCTGCTTTGTCCTGGTGCGCTAGTCCCTTCTCTGGTGCCCTTATCAACAGGGTCGCACTGCACTTTCCTTGGCCTGCCAGCATTCAGGTATTCCTCTGCTGTACGCTCTGTGGTTCTACTGAGAGTCAGCTCTCCTATCGGTAAAGAAGCAGGTGGCTACTCAGCTCCAGGAGCAGGGATGGAAGATGCAGTATATGGGATTGGTGCCTCCCAGCCCAGCATCTCAGTCATAGGTGACATTAGTGGGTAGGAAACAATGTGCTCAGACAACCACTTTTTTTTTTATGTGAACAGAATTTTCTAATTTAATTTTCTAACGGGAATGAAGGAAAGAAATACTGAGTATCTACATAGAATATGAGATATTCCTGGTGAGCAAAGAAGCTGTTTTTTAGTTTTAGGGCCTGCCTACGGAAACATTTTACAGGGTATTACTTTCGCCAGGTGCTCAATGGCACAGATTTTTTGTAATCCTATAGAGTTTAATCTCCTTTAATCATGAGGGGATTGCCTATGCACTACGTAACCTGGATATCTATTTCACCCTCATTGATGTTTATAAAGAAGGAAATTTACTTATTTATAATATCAAAGTAGTAATTAAGTACACAAAAAAGCCTTCAGCCATAATTCAGGGCTGGCACCTGTGAAGAGAGAGTGAGAGGGAGGCAGGATTGGGTAGGAAGCAGCTCAGACTGCGGTTCAGCTCTGAGGAATTCTGAGACGGACTGATAGGAAGCTCACGGCAGAGTGTCCCTGAGCGGGGACCTGCCATGGCCAGAAACAGCTTGGCTCTAGTACCCTCTCCGACATACTCACAGGCCGTAAACAGTACCTTCCTGGAGAGGAGGTAGCCTTAGTGTGAGGTGCGATGAACAGAAAGTGTGGCTGTTGAAGACTTTCACTAAATTACAGCTCTCACATCCCATCTCTTAAAGGTGTATGTTGGCAGTGTAGATCCAACACCTCCACGGAGGGTGTGAATAGAAAGCCCTGGGCAAGCAGGAGAAAATTGATAGGAACAATTCCAAGAAAGGTGTGACAAATACTAGCTTGAAAATAACAAAATATAGAAAGATTTAAGAACATATAAATGAGTGGCAGAAAAAACACACACATGTTATCATTTGTAAACCTTAATGTGAAAAGATGTCAATTCTTCCTTACGTTGATCTATAGATGTAATCCCAATTAAAATTCTAGTAAAGTAGCTGTTTTAGTTTTTACTTTTGTGGTAAATTTCTCTTAATTAGATTCTAAAGTACTTATAGAAAGCAAAGGGCCAAATTATTAAGCTGAATTTTTTTTTCCACAGGAAGAAAAAAGCCTTTTATTCTGAGTTAGATGTCAAAATTCAAATGCATGGATATAGTTTTACTTTGAAATGAATGAATTTCAATTAAAGTTGAATCAGTTAATCAAATATGCAAATGATGACTTTACAAGTAATTTTCTTATTAAGGGAAGGGAAAGGGAAGAAATTGACCCAAATGTAGGTGGGATTTGAGGGTGGAAGAATGAACTCCGAATAAGTGCGGAATAGGTAGAATTGGAACATGGTGGCAAAACTCAGGTGACAAAAGATAAAGACTGCGGATTTCAACCTTACTTGGCCCTTTAGTGCCCTTCAAATTAACAAGAACAACAACAAAAAAACAAACAAACAACAACAAAAAAAACATTGTGGGATTACTTCTTTATAGACCCAAAGAAAAGTAACTTTTTATCTTAAAGTGGCTTCTGGTTTTGTCACTGCATTTTTAATAGACATCTAGCTCTAAGGAAATAAATGTTTATTCATGGGGAATCTATTCATGGATGTGTCTCAGCTTTTCTCTCCACTTTCTTCTCTCCCCCTCCTCCTCTTGCCATTTTTTTCTCTTGTCTTCCCTTTTCCCCTTTTTCCTACTCTCCTCTTTCTACCTCTCACTTTATCTCTTAAATAAAGAAATAAACTAATTCCTAAAGAAAATAAATGACTGCCCCTTTTTCTAGAAAAACCAAATAGGTCTGACTTTATAAGTTTAGCAGATTTTTGCGAAATATCCAAAACCTCCACAGACTTGACTCAGTGCTTGTCTTTTTAAATAAAATAACTCAATGCAGTTTTATAAAATGTTATGATCTCTTGAATTTTTGATACCTTTGCAACTGTTCAACTGAAAGAGTTAACTGTATCTCATCCATTCGAATGCGAAACAAATAAAAATGTTTGGATTGTAAATGACGGTATTTAGGAGGCCTTGAGGTTTTGTAATAGGAAAAGCTGAAGTGTGTCTACTGTAGCAGAAATGGCACAATACATAGTTAACCTAGGATTTTATTCAATATCAGAAAGTGCTGCCCTGGCAGGGATTCATGTAGCTGCTGAGTCTACTTCTTTTTTAAAACGTTTCTTAAGCGCAACCCCCGAAACCCATTGTCTAGTCAAATCTACTAAATGAGCGGTTGAGGGACTTCAAAATTACACATATTTTCAGCACTTCTGAGAATCTCATTCACACCACGAAACATTGTTCTGGATGCACTAGAGAGGCTAATTACACACTGGCGATAAAGAGATAAAGCGGGAGATGTGTAGGTGGGATGGAAGTGATTATCCATAAATATACGGAGAGGGAGCTTGCGTGTAGCTTACATAACTAATTGCCCACACCCAGCTGGCATTTGCATGAACATTTTCTATGAAAGACTAAATGCTTGTGCTATCTGTTGGCATAAACAAAAGAACCAGATGTTCCAACTCTGATACCAAGCAAACTTGAAAAGAAAACTATACATTTAGGGATGGACAAACCATAGAGGAAATTGTGGACGGGCCCATCTTTCTGGAAGCTCTAGGATTAAAATGCTACTGTTGTAGTATAATTTTTTTAAATGAAAAGGACAAGCCCCTGTTTTAAATTATAAGGTTTGCAGATTCTGCTTTGTATGTAAATATGCATGAAAGGACGGAGTAGCTCAGCATCTAACTTTTTACAAACCCAGTACTATTCAGTCGAGTATCCTTTTGGAGAAACAAACTTAGAAGACAATGCTCTTGTTTTTCCACCATGTCATTCCTTCCTGTGTAATGTAGGGCACACACTTCTATCGATAGCTGCTCCCAAGACCAGGAGGGCAAGCACCTGTATGGTACATTGCCTGGTAAACTCCTACCATTATTTGTAGAGAGGGAGAATTTGTAAGTTGCATTGCCAAATGGGACACAATAGGTACCATCTACCATTAAAGCTAAAAACAAACTATCAAAAATAATAATACCTTTACAAACAAGAACCCTTTTTACTCTCATAACTCAAAGACACAAAGATAAATATGGTGACAATTTTTAAATGAGTAAGATATTTGAGTAGACATTTCTCCAAAGAAAAGTACACATCACCAATAAGCACATAAAAAAAAATGCCCAACAGTCATCAGGGAAATGCAAATGACAACCACAGTGAAATGGTACTTCACGCTCACTGGGGTTGCTATCATCAAAAAGTTCAAAGCAACAATTCTTGGCGAGAATGTGAAGAAATCCAGAACATGTATGCAATACCAATGGGAATGTAAAATAGTGCAGCCATTTGGGAAAACAGTATGACCGCATCTCAAAAACTTATACATGGTTACCATTTGACTCACAGTTCCACTCATGGGTACATATCTAAGACAAGTAAAAACATATGTCCACAAGAAAACTTGTGCACAAATTTCCAAAGCAGCATTATTTATTCAAAAAGTGGAAACAATACAAATTCCCATCTATGGATGATGCATAAAAAATGTACTATATCCTTACAATAAAATATCAATTCAGCAATTAGAATAAATGTAATATATGTGGATGAATCTTAAAAATAGTTTGCTAAATAAATGAAGCCAAACACAAAAGACAGCATATTGTATTATTTCACTTACATGAAATGTTTGTAATAGGCAAACCCATAGAGAAAAACACACAGATAAGCCATTGCCTGCAGTCGAGAGGTTGGAGGAAATAGAGACAGCTATTGGTTAGGAGTTCCTTCCTGGGGTAACAAAAATATTCTAAAATTATATTGTGGTGATGGTAGCACAATTCCAAGAACATAGTAACAACCATTTAATTATATACTTCAAATGGGTGAAATATATGGGAATTAAATCTCAAAGGTGTTGAAAATGAATATTTCCATATTGATGGAGCTCTTACATCAAAAATTATTGTTTAAAAGCAGAATTTACTTAGGAGTCAAGATGTGTTATCAGACATTTATGCCTTTGATTATAATAGTTTATGATTTTATCTAGTCAATTATTTAGCAATTACTGATCAGCACAAATAGCTCGAACATTTTTCTTCCACTTTCCTCATACACCTTAAGATTACTTATCATTTACTTTCACATCTCCAGATTTAATCACTTTTCATAGATTTTTGTTCTTGACTTCTTGAATAGACTGGAATTTAAAAGGTTATTTCTATGGGATGTTCTGTGGTGTCACTGTAGAACTGCGGACCATTTTCTCCATTTTGTAATTCTTCTCTTGCCTTCGCTGACCTTATATTCTTGCTTCCATGTTCTCTGGGATCCATCTGCTCCATCTCTATGCTCCTCTTTGGCTGCCCTTTCCCTCCTCTCCTTAAAGGTTTTGTCCTCAGTACTTTGCATTTCTCTCCTTACACTTGTCCCTTTCTTCAAACATTCTGAATCCATTTCTCAGACCCATCACATATCCTAGGTTTCAAACTCATTTTTCTATCAGCTCTATAAACATTTTCAATTTTCTCTTCCATGGTTATTTTAGTATTACCAAAAAACACATGTTTAGCCAACTTTATAAATGTCCCTACCATGTGCCAGAGATTATACTAGACATGAGAAACACATAGATAGATGATAAATAGATAGATAGATAGATAGATAGATGATAGATAGAAGACAAATAAATTTTTACTTGCTCTTGAGGTATTCATAGTCCATTAGGTATAGAAAGGCAGATATGTAAATGAGTACAATGAAGAGGTTTAGGTCCTATGCCAGCATTTAAAAAAATATATATTTTATTGATTTTTTAAAAATATATATTTTATTGATTTTTTACCGAGAGGAAGAGGAGGGACAGAAAGTTAGAAACATCGATGAGAAAGAATCATCAATCAACTGCCTCCTGCACACCCCCCACTGGGGATGTGCCCGCAACCAAGATACATGTCCTTGACCGGAACTGAACCTGGGACCCTTCAGTCCGTAGGTCAACGCTCTATCCACTGAGCCAAACTGGTTTCAGAACCTATGCTGGCATTTTACACCTTCCATTCATTTCCAGTTCGTATTCCCCTGAAATATACTGACAACCATACTTTGGTAAAAACTGCTGTTTGAATTTTAACCCTGATAAGTCTGGCTCCTGCCTGATTAAATACGGAATACTTACCTCAGCTTCCAGGTGGAGACCTGGAGGCGAAGGCAATTTTCCCTGGCCTGGGACCAGGACCACAGGAGATTGATTCCCACTGACTCAGTAGCTTCAGGGATAGAAACTGTAGATAACCTTGAGAGACTAACCGCTGAGCTCTGCTTCTGTGTTATTGGCTATCACAAGATAGGGCCACATTCCAATGTCCAGAAGGATGTGACTAGCAAAGACCCTGCGGGCTGACCCCAGTCTTTAGAACATATTCTTTAGGATTTAGAATTTAGAACAAAGGAAAATTCCTGTGGTTTGAACCTTTAAAAGGGACTGCTTACCCCTGAAACAGTGCGGTCATGTGGAGACCACCTGTGTGTGGTGCTCTCACGGCTGTCCTGGCCAGTTATTTCAATAAATCCTTGCCTGCTTTTTTAATTAATCATCAGCCTCCAGTGGTCTTATTTTGAACCCAGGTTTCGACCCCACAACACCCCAAATCCCATTACAGACCTGTTTTAATACTGATAACATATTTGCTGATCTTCTTAATCTCTCCCTATTCTAAATTAATCTTCTGAAAGTCACTGCATATCTATTTTCTGCTCACAAACTTTAATGGCTCTCTATTATTGAAGGATCAAGTACAAATTCCTCATCCTCTCATGGAAGATTCTTTACACACTGGCTAATTTTTCAATCTTCTCCTCCACACTCACCCTACCTACTCACAACCTCTGCGGCCGTTGATCTGAGTCACTAACTTTTTAGTATGTCTTAAAACATTCTGCTTGTATACCTTTGCTCAGAAAACTTCTATTTCTTGGCTTGCTGATTGAGGTTATGCTAGCTTTGGAAACAAAAATATATGAATGGCTTAAGAAAATAAATGCTCCTTAGTCACTCGAGTTAATAGTCCAATGTGGATGTTCTTGATTGAATGCTGACTTTGACCTACACAATGTTTCAAAATCCAGGTGTTCTGTTTTTTTCTGTTGTTCTTGAGTGTTATCATCCTCTAGGGCCTTGAAATTATCTGCATCTGGCAAACAGATGGGAAAGGAGAATGAAGGATGGTCCCTTAGATGTTTTTATGAGTCAGGCCTAGCAGTAGCATACATCACTTCTATCCACATTCTATTGGCTAGAACTCAATCATATTGCCTATCCAATTGCAAAAGAGTAAGAGAAAAGCTGTCCAACTGTGAGCAGATAGAAGAGGAATTCATTTTGTGAATACCCCGACCTCCTCATTACTCCCCACTGTGGAGAATCTGGTTCCACTTCCTCTGGAAAGCATTTCTTAACCACTGGAAATGGGAATGAGAATTCCTTTTTCTGATGTTGCACAGGACCTATTGTCTGTTTCTTACTTTACACTTACCACTCACTGTGCTGCAAATTACTTTTCTTTTTCATTGTGCATATCTTTTCATCCCCAGTGGAATCCTAAACTCCTTGAAGGCATATGTTTGGGCCATTCATTCATTCATTCAATATGTGTTTTATGGACAACCATCATATAGGACTTAATATCTGGTGCTATAGGGAACACAAAAATTGATTTTTTTAAAAAAGTCATTGTGGATCTATATTGTCATTTTAGAACTTGATTTAGAAGGCATTGACATAACAAGTCCTCTGAGTCCTTTAAAACTGTAGAGGAATTCATTTCAATGATCAACCATACCATACCATTTCAATTTATTACAAGGATGGCATTATGTAAATGAATGGATATATTAAATGCTATCCTTCGCTTACATTTCCACATTGATTGGCTGTTGCTTATCCAAGCAGCAAAGACCTTCCTTATCGCATTGTAAATAGATGTAGACAAATTGTGATCGTTCCTAAAAATATTCAAAGTCATGTTACCTCACCAGTTGAGTCATGCTTTAAGATTAAAAGTCTTTGAGGAGGTTATGACAACCTAGATAATGACAGCCTGGTGATTTTCTGCACAATACTCTGCACGTCCATGAAGACGTGCATCCGGCACTGAGCGCTGAGACAAAGGAAATGGGTTCACAGTGAAGTGAAGAAGAAAAAGCAGACTTAAACTGCTAGTGAAGGAATCCTGGTTAAATATATGGAAAATCTTATTAAAAATGAATCAACATGGCTTATGAAGCCCTCTCTCACCCCTAGGAAATATTAGGTATGTGACAGGAAGTGCAGATGCTAGAAAACCAGGCAATAAAATAAATAGCCTCTGGATAGGTCCTCCCCAGCTTTCAAAGCCTAAATCCTAAGGCTTAGGCTATTTTTGGTTTCCTTTCAGAACGGAGCCTATACAATGAAAGCAAAAGCAGCTCTCTCTCTCTCTCTCTCTCTCTCTCTCTTTTTTTTTTTTTCCTGACTACTCCAAGATCTGTTTTTGCCACAACTTCATAAGTATTTCAATTACTTGTTCCCTCAACAATCCTGCAGCGAAGCACTGCCCCTACCTCTCCTTTTTATAGATGAAGATATTGAGGTTAAGTGATTTTCTCAGGGTTACAAAGAGACCTAGCAGCAATGAGGGAATGAGAACTCGCGGCTCAACCTTCTGGTGGATGAATAGATGAGTTTCTGAGCAGCTGCTATTATTCTGCAAAGAGGCCCGTAGCTGCCTGGCTGATTGTGCCCAGAAACCGGGCCCAGGAAATGAAAGGGAGGCTGCGAGGACAGCTTTCTCCTCCTTATTAATGACACAGCCAATTGTTTATAGTTGGAAAGAAAGGCCCTTTAGAGAAAGAGCTTTTTAGAAAGAGGACAAGCAGCAGGGCACTCAATGCGGGACCCTGCCTCAATGAGACCCTTGTTGTCTGTCTTCTCGCAGACAGCGCTGCTGAGGAAGCTGGGCTGCAGATCGGAGACGTGGTGCTGGCTGTCAATGGCACTGAGGTCAGCAGTGTGGAGCATGCAGAAGCTGTGCACCTGGCAAGGAAAGGTAGGGGGGCGAGCCACAGACTCTACAGTTAGCCCAAGGAAACACAGAGCAGCACTTCACCGGGGAGTTCCAAAGTGGAAGTGGCAATGTGATTTTTTCATATGAATAAAATCACATTTCTGCCCATGCTCCTTCTGTATCAATGGCCAGCCACAATGGTGAAACCAGAAAATGGCAGTAAGCCAAATGTACTCTCTTGAATATCAATATATTTCCTTAAATCCCCTCCCTCTGTTGTCTTTCTTCCTTTCTCTCTCTTTTCTTCCTATTTTCCTTTCATTCCATCAGTTGTTAGAGTTAAAAGACTCAGAGTTTAAATTTGGAGAGAGAGAGAGAGAGAGAGAGAGAGAGAGAGAGAGAGAGAGAGAAATGAAGAAATTACAACTTAAAGCTTTTACAGATTCTCCTAGGGCCACTAGAGGCCTGTCCTTAGAGCAATTCTGACACGGATGGAACCAAGAGAACAATGACACATGCCCCATACCCTTGTATCCACTCACATTAAACTTTGTGGGAAGGCTAAGACCATCTTCCTCTCTGCAAACCAAGTTACTTCCTTTGGTGTGAAGTTACAAATCCTTACCTCCACACAGACCTGAAAGCATGCAGCTGGCAATTGCTTTACTGCATCATCCGCTTATTTGGTGAGGTGCCCCATGCCTGGCTTTCCAAAGGCTCCGTGCACACCTCCCTGCCCCTGGGGCATATTCTCAGGCAGTGATGTTAAAAAGGGAGCGTTTGAGATAGGCCACAGGTGCCACTTGCTGAGCTACATCACTTTCCCTTTTCCATAATTCCATTATGCCTGGGAGTTAACAACAGCAAGAGACTTCTCTAGTGCAAAAAATCACTAACAAATGTTGCATCCTGATAAGCTATTCTGGACTTTTTTAAAGAAAGAATTTAGCTTAGTATTTGGCTAAGTCTGAAGGAGTTGTCATGTACTAGGTGCACCAGGAACCCAAGGACACGATCAGTTCACATGTGCACAACTACTTGTGAGTCCTACACATGCAGATGAGAAATTAAGATAATATGGTAATGACTGTATGAATGAATTGGTAGCATCCCATACAATATGGGAATTTTATCCCATTACTTTTGGATTTACCCGTTCCTAGGTTCTTTGTTACAAATGACTTTTTTGAGTTACGCAAAACCTAATTTTAGTAATACTTATACTTGTAGGATTTGTTTTCTTTTCCCTCAAAAAGTGTAATGTTCTTTATAATATTAAATCATTCGGCCTTCCTATATCAGTTAATGAAACATCTCTAAAACTTGAATGGAAGGTTTGAAGATTTCTAAGAGATGGAACTAACATTGATACTGAGAGAAGAGCTAAATCTAACTCCCTCGCTTGTGCTGTTCCTGGCAGCTACTTGTAGGGTGGATTTACCTGCTGCTATATTCTGGCTTCCTCAAGAAAACACTCACCCTCAGGGCACCTCCCTGGGTCTCCAGTCCTTCTCAAATCGAACAGTGGAGATGCTTCAGAAGCAGAAAGGCAAGTTGTAGATCTGATGTTCTAAAGCACATGTGTCAAATACAAGGCCCGCGGGCCAAATCCGTCCCGCCAGGCCTTGCAATGTGGCCTGCACCGCGCTGTCATCACTGCACTCCGCTGCGTTTCCATCACAATGACAGTTTATGACTGTTCAGTAAACCATTCGGCCCGCGATTTAGGCTGAATTTTAGATTTTGGCCCCTTCTCTGATTGAGTTCGACACCCCTATTCTAAAGTGAGGACAGTAAGAAACTTCTGAGAAGACAATGTCATTGTGGATGTTCAGAGGAGTGGGATACAGCCAAGAGTAGAAGAGGGCTGAATGCCTCATGTAGGGCATAGCTGGGGGACCCTTTCTTAGAGTTTTCCTCCCCGATGGCCCCCAGTGGTCAATTCCCTACCACTGAAAGCCAGACAACAGAAGCACCTGTTGTGGACAGATGGGAAACATAAGATGGCGTGTCAGCCCAGCTGGATTAGAGAGATGATTATTCCTTTCTCAGGCTTCCTCTCCCACATATCTCTAAGACTGAGAAATAATGAAAAGAAAAAATGCAAATAACAAAATAAAAAGAAACAATAGAAAGATAGTTTTAAAAATAAATACTGCTTTGAACTATATAATAATAAATCTGAAAACTAGATAGATAAAAATATTTTCCAAAAACATTCATGGTGCCAAAGTAAGTGCAAGAATAGATAGAAAATTGGTACATACTATAATAAATTTCCATCCTGCTCCATCCACCATACAAAAACCCAAAATTCACTTTTATAAATGAAATTTATTTAACTTTCAAAGAATAAGTAATTCCTATTCTATAGTTTTTTTTCCAGAAAAAGGGAAAGAGAGAATGCTTCTTGTCTTGTTTTTATAAGATTACTATAACTTTGATTCCATAACCAGATAAATATAAGATAAAAAATAAAATAATATATCTATTTTACTTATGAAGTGTAAGAACAAAGAGTAGATATCTGAATCAAGCTGTTTATTTAAATTACACATAATAACATCATACTCAAGTTAGGTTTAAAATAAAGATGGCTTTTCATAAGAAAATATTTTAACAGAATTTATCACATTAATGGACTAAAGATAAAACATCACATGTCTATTTCAATAAAAAATCATGTAATAAAGTTCAGCAACTTTATTTAAATTTCTATAAACAATTGGAATAGAAGTTTCTTTTCATAGCTTTGTAAATGGAATCTACCAAAAATCTAACCATGAAAAGAAAAAAGTATATAAAAGAATGTACACAACAACAAAACTTTTAATAGAGAAACTTTGGACACATTTCCTTTGAGATTGAGAGGGATAATGCCAATTTTAGCAATCTCTGTTTATCTAATATCTAAGGTCCTGACTTATCCAAAAATGCAAAAAAAAATTAAAGGTGTATTGTCTAGAACGAAAGAAAACCATTATTATTTGCAGATTATATAATTATAACAAAATCAATAGACTAATGCATAGAATGAATTAGGGAACTACTGACCAAACCAAGATCTCCTTATAAAAATAAGTAGTGTTCACCTGTACCAGTAATAACCAAAAAGAAGAAGAAAAACTTTTAAAGGACACTAAGATAGGATTTAAAATAGAAAAGAAAAAAAAACTACAAAGTAGAAAAGAATTAATTTAAAAAGGAGTGCTTAAGAACTTTACGGGGAAAAAAAAGTACAACTTGACTAAAATACATAAAAGAAGACATAAGTACCTGGAGATGTACAGTATTTTTATAGGTGGAAAAATGTAAAGATATTAATTCTCCCCAAATTAATAATTAAATTTTATTAAATATATTTGAATAGCTTGTCAAAGTTATCCTCAAATATATGCAAAAGAATACATGTCTCCAAATAACTACATCATTTATGGCAAAGAAACTTTTTAGACAAGATATTAAAGTACATTACAAAACCATAATAATAATAAATAAAAAGTGGTACTGTCACAGAAAAACATAACTGGGATAGAATTAGAAAGCTCAGAAACACACTAAAACACACTAAATATTTATTAAAATTTGATGTATGATAAATGTATCATCACAAAACAATGAAGGACAATTTTTTTAGTACATCATTTTTATACAGAATTGTAAGTATGCTACCTTATACTTTATACCATATACAAAGGTGGACAATAAAAGAAATTGTGGGAGAATTAACTTGGTTAGTGGTGAAAGAAATGCAAGTTAACAAGATGAGATTTTAGATCCACCAGATTAGAGGGGGAAATTATAAAGGATATGATAGCCAATTTTGGTAAGGATATGAAGAAATGAGAACCCCCATGCACTCTTGTTAGGCCATAGGCATTTCAAAGAGCAATCTGGCAACATCTAGTAAAGTACCTTGTCAATCTAGATTGCACTTCTGGGTTTAAAAGCCCAAAGAAACTGTTGAGAGGACAAATTCAAGGACATTCAATGCAATGTTCTGTGTGGTAGAGAATATTTAGGGGAAGTCTGGTTGACCAATGGATATGTAATGTACTTGGACTCCTATGCCACACTTTGAAATAATAAAGGAGATGAGCATTTAGCATCATGGACAGATGCTTTGAAAATAAATGGTTTTGAGGGAAGAGAGAGAGAGAGAGAGAGAGAGAGAGAGAGAGAGAGAGAGAGAGAGAGAGAGTGTTTTTTTTATGTGAAATAAAATGACATACACAAAAGAGTGTGCCCCAGTCCTATGCTCTAAGAGTGCCAATTGTGAGGAGCAGAATGTTGGAGGAAAGTTAAGAACAGAGAGAGAAAATAAAGTAAAATAATACAAAACAAAAGGGAGCTTCATTCCAAAGACAATTGTGTGCAACAACCTGAGTGTCATGATATGCTGGGAGGTCTTGTACCCAAGTTCAAGAGTGACAGATGAACATCTCCTGAGCAGGGACCCACCCATACACAATTTTACCTCCACCCACATTCTAAAATGTATAGGCAGTATGGTGAAGGAGGTAAAAGCAAAAGCAAAACTGGACTATTGAGATGCAGTGGGTCTATGAGAAGCAACTAAAAAGAGGAAAAGGGAAAAAATAATAGGAATAAGTTAGTTTTATGTAATGCTTCACAGGTTTGATTTTGTTAGCAAGCCTATAAACTGGTCAGGGTGTTTCTGGAACATAACATTTGAGACAAGCTTTTGAGAGAAAGTCACCAACTTATCTGAAAAAAGCAATAGTCATAAAACAACTGACAGAGTCTTTTGTTAAACTCATTGGAGGTATACAGATCTTGAAATACATATGTAAGCTTCTATTAAGAGCTTATTTAACAATCAAAAATAAATAAAATAAGAATCCAAATGTTTCTGCTTGCCTGTTGTATCTGTTTGCCTAAAACTTTCAAGAGTGTTAACTGATATCACTTTGGCCACTATATATTTTTGAACAGTTTCCTTCCCATGCATTTAGGCTTACAAACATTAATCACTTTCCTCAAAACATTATATCATATATCTCACAGTATGTGAGACTCGCCAGAGACACTCTTTCCAGCACAGAGCTCCTGGCGGTGGCCTGCACGTTTGTCATTTTAACCAGCTCTCCCTGGTGGTTCTTGCGGAGCCAGCTCCGCATCAGTGCCCAGCCCGCACCAGGGAGGCATGGCCGGAGGGTTACAGCCACAGGTCAGGAGTCTGTTTTGTTAGCTTCCAGTGCAGGTGCTGCCATATCTCCCCAGACTTGCGTTAGAAAGGGGATCCACCATGTGTCAGAAGGTCAATTTTTCAATAATTCTATTGAACTAACAATTCTAGTCAATAATAATCATAGAAAAATATAGTAATATATATTACAGAAAATTATAAAAGTAATGGAATGATAATTCTATTTTTAAAAAAATGTGACTAATCACACCTACTTGTACTTTCATTTTGCTGCTGGGAAACCCAAAACAGATTGAAGAAAAGCATTCAGTATCACACCCAGAATGGCCACAGTTCCATGAGAATCTTGACCTAATTAAGTCCCTCATATGCTCTAGCTTGGGTGATTTATAGACCTGGTTACTTGCAGACTCACAAAGAAGGCTTAACGCTCAAGGGATCAGGCTGGAAAGAAGAAAAGGAAAGGAAAACAATACAGCGTCGCCACCCTGGAAGCCCCTAGAGTCTGAGGGCTCCTTGTTGCACTGTGAGCAGCTTCCCTGAAAACAAGGCCGGGTGCCCCTGGAGCGGACATGTCACCTGCCCCCAGTGGCCACCCGCGGAGCAGCCCCGAGGGACAGCACCTGTCTGGCAGGCCTCTCTCCTGCACCGGCGGGGGCCGGAGCTTGTCTGACAACAGAGGTGCAACTCTGACACGGTGTAAGATTGGTGGCAGAATGGGAAGACAGCAATGCAAGGAGCGAGTGTGAATTAGAAAAAGAAGTCGCTTTTCTCTCTCCTGTGGCTGTAAATGACCTCCCCCACAATCCCTTACCTCCAAAACTCTAGGCCCAAGCGCTCCAGAACGAGAGTTTGCTAGAGACTTTCTTTCTTTTTAAGGACATCGTCACCAAAGAGCTGTATTTGTTAAAGACATGATTTTCAAACTCTCATCACATGAATAGTTCCCTTGACTATTTCACCTCAAGCCATTCATCTTCCCATATCCTTCCTCCCACCCACCCGCAGGCAGCAAGCAGGATTTCTGGGATGCCTAATAGAAGGCAATGGTTATGTGTGTTCTTTCCCTAGGGTGGAGAGATACTTAGAGAAAGAAGTAATCCATGGGAAAACTAATAATTTCGTGCTTGCAAAATATTGGGGTTGAAAAATGAAAGCATGCAGGGGAAACTAAATCATAGTCAAGGAAAGGAAGAAGCGTGGTGGTTGGTAATAAAGCTCTGTTTATGAGCAGAGCCTCTCAGCAACGGAGAGATGCCTGGGGACTTGCTACTCAAACTGTGGTTTGACATGACCTGAGAACGTGTTACAAAGACAAAATCGTAGGCCTCATCCCAGACCTGAATAAGGGCATGCATTGCAACAGACCCACCAGGTAATCTGCATCTGCATTTAGTCTGAGAAGCCCTGAACTGGGACATTTTCATAGTTTATGGTCCCAGTAAATTAATAGATAAGTAATAATAAAACCAGGAGATTTTAATTGTATGTTACACACACACACATACACACACACACACACACACACACACACACACACACACACTACAGTAACTACATAAATACTCTAATTTGGAGAGGACATCTGAAGTCTGAAGTCTCTGTGAACGCCCAGGTTCCCTGGCCCCGGATGGAATCTGCAGACAGAGGATAGCACCAGCATCACCCAGCAGCTGTTTGGAACTCAACAGCTTCCCCATGCGGGAGGGTCACGTCCTAACTCTGAGCGTGAAAACCGTTCCTTTGATAGATGGTACCGTGCTGCAGCAGGACCATTTGCATCCTTGCCCCCCAGAGAATGTCTTTTGTGCACCGAGTCATGTTGATGGCTGGCGGAAGCTCAAGCTCAGCCTGATCAGCATCAGAGAAACCCACATGCAGTCTGTGTAAGCAAGAGGACAGTGACCCCCCGGGCAGCCCACTGCGGCAGCACATAAATAAATTGGCAGACGTGCCAATGAGGCCCATGAGTCCAGGAGTGCAGCTCTCCGGGGACTGCAGTCCAAAGACAAAGACGTTTGTCGTTGCCGGTCAACCTGGAGCATTTCTGCTAATTTTTCTGGATGGGTTTTTGACAGGAGCTTCAGGGCAGTTCAATAAATTAAAATGTATTTACATGGCAATGAAGAATCATCTTGACATGCAGAGTTATTTAATTACCAAAGTGCTTTGTGTGCTGCTGAAGTTAAATCTGTGTCAGCCTTTCTGGGACAAACCTTGATTTTCGGGGCCGTGTGGCTCAGCCAGGAATGGTCCCCGGGTTGGAGCTTGTCATTTGGAGAAGGGGAGTCTCCTCACTGACCCCCCCCCCCCCCCATTTCCATGAACAGCTCTAAACAGATCAGTAACCTCAATGTCAGACATCATGATGAAGTCAGCACGGCCAAGGCCAAATGTCCCCCTTCCGGGACGCGGCCTGCCTTTCAGAGGAATTGTTAATGAAGCCATACTCCATAAGCAGTCTTCATTACTTGTCAGGGTTTCAGTCTACCTGAATGACATTCAGAGAATTTTCTGGAGGCATCAAGAGATGGGCGTATGATGCAAGTCTGGGTCCATGCTGGCAGCATCAAAGCAGTTGATAAACAGGGATCACATATTACCAGGGACAGGGACAATTTCCCCCAAGCTATGCACCATCCTGATCCTATTGGAAAGGAGGGCCAGGCTGGAAGGAAGGCACTCTAAGAAGTCGAGGACACGCACCTGGAAATTCAGGATCCAATCCTCAGCACTAAGTTTGGTAGCATTGCTGTCTACTTCCAAGTTCAAAGGTTTGGCGTTGGTTTCGGCCAGAGATAATACTGGTGACAGGTATATTAGCAATGGCTTAGATCCTCCCTTTAACTAACCCCAGTCAAGGAGGCTCACTGAATAAAAATAAGATAGGAAAGCCAAACCATCACCTATCTTCCTTCTTAGGATGCAAATCAAAATACAATACATTAAAGATTTCGCTTGACGCTATTACAGTCAGAAGAAACAGACTTGAGTGATTCATGATCAGACCCAACAGGGCTGATGGTTGAATAGAGAGTTCTGCACCAGAAGTCAGGAAATATGTGTGCTCCATGTCTGGTTCAATCTCTTGTGAATGATGGAGCCTCACAAAAGTCACTTCACCTCCCCAGCTTTCATTTTCCTCTTCAACGTGAGGGGCTGAATTACTAGAGAATGCTAACCCATTCCAATCGTGGGATTCTATTTCATTGATTCCATTTATGTGAACTATAACCTCTTTTCCATCCATCTCCTCAACCCCTTCCCACCCAAAAAGCAGCAATCCTTCCCACTGATTGAAAGATTCAGCCACTGAACCCTCCCAAATTCATTCCCCTAGGCCCAGACATCTTGACTCTGGTGGTGGGATCTGACATCAGCCGCTGTCCCAACACCCCTCGGCCCACCTGCCGCGGCTACCTACATAAGAGGACTCACTCTGGCTTCGTGAAGGGCTGGAGGAAGCGGTGGTTTGTGCTGAAGCATGATGGCCGCCTCCACTATTACAGACATAAGAAGGTAAGTTGAGGACAGGTGTACGGGTTGGCATGGGTGAGCACGAGAAACCCTTGGAAGCGCAGTCAGTCCATGACCAATGCGTTGCCTTGCAGGGTGCTAGGATTCTGGAAACCTTGTCCTGTTCTGTGACTTTCAGAACTTCTTCACAGGCTCAGATCATTGTAATTTATTTTCTCTGCTGCCACATAAATCGAGGTTGGCATACGTTTCTATCTCATTTATTCCTATTTTCAGTTCCTCTGTGAATACTTCCTTATCAAGCCAAGAATATAAGAACCAAACTGCATACTTAGTACCTTAGAGAAATCAAGGTGGGTTAAGGCAAAGTGCAGCCAATATCCCTCCAGACTACGTGGCTGGGCACTGTTCCCCAGGCTACAGTGACTGTTGTTAGCAAGGCTTTGGAAGCTGATCCCCACGAAAGCCACATGGAATACCTTGTTTCATTCCCCAGCTTTCATCAGCACAGTGATTTCTAACTATAGGTGAAGGAGGGACTCATCTGGGGAATGTTCTCCAATGATGCAAAGCCGGTCCTCCTCCCAGAGGCTTCTCATTCTGTCAGTTAGGGATGTAGCCTGGGCCTGCTGGTTTGGGGCAGTGGTCAGCAAACTCATTAGTCAACAGAGACAGATATCAACAGTACAACGATTGAAATTTCTTTTCCGAGCCAAATATTTAAAACTTAAACTATATAGGTAGGTACATTGTTACTAACTTAATTAGGGTACTCCTAAGCTGGCCTTTGCTAAAAATGTGGTATTTTGTGGAAGAGCCACACTCAAGGGGCCAAAGAGCCGCATGTGGCTCTCGAGCTGCAGTTTGCTGACCACTGGTCTGGGGAAAGCACTTCAGGTGATTCTGGAGAACAATTCTGAAGAACAACCTGCAGGCTGTATCTTGTTTTCTTAGCCCTATGCAGTATGGTGTTTAATGATTTTAATATGAGGCAAACATAAAATTCAGACTTCATATAGAAATCCCAATTTCCAAATTTGCCTGAAAAATTCCTTAATGACATTTGGTGGATTCTAAATAGTGCCACCCTCTCCTAGGGAGCACGGGAACTGTTCAGTTCAACAAGGGCCACTGTTCCTGTGTCTCCGGCCCTTCTGGCCTCACTCCAAACCATGTTTCGACCCTCTATTAACAAGTGTTAGAAACAGGAGTTTGAATTGTTTACCTTTTCATGACACAATCTTATTATTTCTGCCTTTATTTCCACTGCCCTAGTTTCTTAATTTTAAGCTTTTTGTATATATACAATATATGAGTGTGTGTGTGTGTACTTTTGAATGACCTTAATTCTTTCTAGAAAGGAATGTATATAAAAGGCTAATATGCTAAGTATCCTTCCCATCTTCTGACCAGTTGCTGTGACACACACTGACCACCAGGGGGGCAGATGCTCAATAGAGGAGCTGTCATGATGCACAGAGAAATGGCCCTGAGTCCATAAAGCAACACTCAGCTTCCCCCAAGTGAGACACAGGCTCCGTCACCACCCCAGAGTGACAGCCCACCAAATTGCAGCCAACGCTGCTGAGACCCCATGGTGCAAAATGCAGCCCACAGCCCAGCCCAGAAATTTGGCTGTGGGTGCCAGGTAATGATGTCATGGCTTCATCTCCCTAGTGATGACTAACCCCCTTGCAGTTTCTTCAGCCCAGGACACAGATGGAAACATTTTACATTTTAACCAAATGTCTATGAAGCGTTTTCCCATGCCTCATCTCAATTGATCCTCACAGAAGTCCTAGAGTAGGTAGATAGGAAACTCGGGTGGAATCCTATTTTCTTTTCATTAGCCAGAAAAACAGAAATTTAGAAACCTGACCCTACTGAAAAGACGAAGGAAATGGTGGAACTTGAAAATGACTTCAGATTTTCTCATTGTGCAGAATAGAGTCAAACACAGCTCAGTTAAATATTTTAACCTCTGTTCTTCCTGTGTGATCTACAATAATAATCTGCTTCGTGTTGGTATTTATTGCTGTGTTGCTAACAATTACCTGAAAGAGAAGTTAGGGTGCTTCACTGGGCTGGAAAAAGTTTAGCTAAATCAGAAAGCAGGTCTAATTAAGCAAGTTCATTCTATATAAAAGGCTAAGTTGACTCACGCATGTGCGATACATATAAAGCTCTCATTAGCACCAATTGCATGTGTGTGTTTCGATCTGTCATGTTGATCATGAATTTGATTGACACTTCCATTATAGAGAAAGGGCCAATAGCAGTATTAAAATATTTCTTCTGATTAATTTCCTTTCAATGTGCACAAATTCATGCACCAGGCCACTAATATATCAATAAAGAAATCAACACATATTTTAAAGTGAGGAGTAATTTTGCATATTAAATCCTGGTGAAGACTCTCTGTTCTATGATTATTTCTCACTTCTCTGAGACACAGACTAGGATTTGTCTGCCTTTCGTGGCTATGTGAGCTGCACAGCTACTTTGGAAAAACTTTGTCTCCCTCCAGTGCGGGAAAATAAGATTCTCTTGTAATCAGAATGAGAAATGATGGTTCGGCCTTATTCTCTGAATTCTGAAAATTAGAGGGGAACAGACCAGAAGTGTTCAATGTGGGTGTGCTTCAGAAGCCCTTGAAGAGTTTTCCAATGTGCACATGCAAACCGTCTCCATCTCTCTTACCTCCTGAGAGGGTCCTGGAAACTAGGTGTTCTTTCTTAAGCTTTCAAGGTAGTTATGATAGACCTGATTTGTAACCTGGCTGAGTCCCACAACAGTTTATTTCCATCTATAGTCAGAAGGAAAAAAACAGGAGGCAAAAGCAAAGCTTGCCAGTTTTTCTTCCATGGTTCTTTATCCTGAGATTTTGTTCTTTTTGCTTTCTCTTATGAAATAGTTACAGCAATAGATGCTGGCATTTCTTTAATGGCCTTCCTCAGTAAAATAAATCCATAAAAGCAACCTTTTGTCAAGCACTCCATATATTAAAATTCCTGGTTCTTGAAAGCCAAAATGGCTCCTGGAGCCAAGTGTTTTAGGCCTGAGTTTGCCAGGTGGCAATCACAGGACCTGTGCTGCCTGCAGGTGTTACATTTGGCTTGAACGATATTTTTATAAAATTTCAATTAAATGCATTCAGGTGTCGCATGCACTATCCGACTTACCATAATCCCTACTACTCCTCATTACCTAACTCTGAGCCCAGTCACATAAACTACCCACTAGGCCCTGTAGGGATTTGAGTATTTGAATCCTGGGGGTAGAATTCATATGAAAATTTAGTTCTGTGATTATATAGTAGTAGGAATTAAAATAGATTTTTTTAACTGCTTCTAGTCCTCCTTGGAAAAGAAATGTGGATCTTACAGTAAGTCTGAACACAGCTAAGGAAAAACTATTTGAGTAACTGCAGTTGTGAACATCATTGCCACATAAGTTTCAATGTGGAGATGTTGAAATATAAAAACACAGCTTTATTCTGTTTATCAAGGGCCAAAATCAGATCCCTTGTGGTGCTACAGATTCCAGAACACATTATGCCTGATCTTTAGAATAGATAGCAATGACTAAGAAGAATTAATGAGGCATAATAAGAACATAACAGAATAAATTAGCAGAAAACTAACTCAGCCATACAGTATTTATTCATGCAACAAATATGTATTGAGTGCTTTTTATGAACCAAGCATTACACTAAGTACTGGGAACACACACACAAAATAACAGATATTGTACCTGCCCTGTTTGCCCTTATAATTCCACTGAAGAGACTGATATTAAGAAATGGATTCACAAATAAATATTCAATTATGACCCTGACTGGGTGGCTTGCTTGTTTGGAGCATTATCCCATACACCAAGGTGGCAGTTTCAATTCCTGGTCAGAGCACATACCTAGGTTGTGGGTTCGATCCTTGGTCAGGGCCCATACTGGAAACAACCAATCAGTGATTCTCTCTCATATCAACATTTTCCTCTCTTTCTCTTTCTCTTTCTCTCTTTCTCAAAATCAATAAAAAATATCCTAGGGTGAGTATTTAAAAAAATATGAAATTGTAGTTGGCACATAAGTAAAATTAAAGAGTACTAGTAGATAGAGAATTGTTGCAGTCTGGATACAAGAAATGCAATCCCATAGTGATTTAAACAAGTGAAGTTTAATATAGAATACTAGAGGCCTGGTGCACAAAATTCATGCACTTGGGGTGGGTGGTCCCTCAGCCCAACCTGCACCCTCTCCAATCTGGGACCCCTCGTGGGATGCCCAAATGCCGGGATCAGGCCTAAACTAGCAGTCAGACATACCTCTCACAGGACTGCTGGCCCCCAACTGCTCACCTGTTTGCCTGATTGTCACTAACCGCTTCTGCCTGCCAGCCTGATCACCCCCTAACCACTCCCCTGCCAGCCTGATTGAAACCTAACTGCTCCCCTGCTGGCCCAATTGCCCCCAACTGTCCTCCCTGCCAGTCCACTCATCCCCAACTGTCCTCCCATGCATAGTCCCTCCTTATTAGATAGGGTTTTTTCTTTAACATATTGGACACTGTACCTGCCATGGTCTTGCCAAACCAGTAAAAATGTAAATCCAAACTAAAAGTATCATAAAATAAACTCTTTAAACAGGAATTTAATGAGACCTTGGAAAGGTGATATCATGGAGTTGTTTCCTCCTTTTTTCCTTCTCTTTTTCTTGATGTTTCATCTTTTGTCCTTTCTCTCTTTTCTCCTTTTATTCTTTTTCTGCCTCTTTTTCTCTTAACTTTTCAGTTGGTAGAATCATTGGTACTTAAATCTGTCTCACTTCCAGATGATGAAGAACAGGGAAATATACTGTCATCTGAAGAAAAAGATGGAGATGGCCATCGATGGGAAGGCAGACTGCAAGGTAGTGTGTGAGTGAGAAAACGAAAAGAGAGTGTGTGGACGAATGAGAAGTATATATTTGTGAGTAAGGGTCAGCTATACTCCAAGAGACTGTTGGGGACTGCCAGCCTGGGCTCCCCTGACCGGGCAGCCTACAC